GGAGAACAAGGATATGTTGAAGCCACCCGTAAAGTTATTGAAACTACACGTTATATCGAAGCAGGGTAAGTTATTTCTGATGAATAGAATTTGTGTTGTTTAGAAATTGCAGATTCTGTGAAAGTTTCTGTCTTCCGTCCATCATATATATTTATATACTGTTATGTAATTTATTTTGGAATTTTTATTTTTACTCAATAGATAAATCAGTGAAAATGATCATTTCAGAGCAGTAAAATGTTCATAAAGATAAATTTCGCTACTTTGAGTCACATTTAACAGACGCAGTCTAAGTTAGGTACAACACTGATTAGTATCTGCTGTAATGTTACAAACATTAATTATTTTTGACAATTATTTTTTTTTTTTAATTTTACTTGATTTTGATGTGGGATCATCTGGGGAAAAATAACCTTAAAATAACCTTTTAGCAAAACTGGTAACTTTGTCAGCCCTGTTTGGTGGTACATAATTTTGTGGAATTTCAAACAATACCGGTAATAGCAAGAATTTGCCTGCTTTTAAATATTTAAAGATGAAGATTTTTTTCTAGTTAGCTATGTGTATCTTCAAGAGAAAACTCACAATAATTAGTCCCCGTTCGGACGAAGTCCGAAAACGGGGACTTTTAATTCGGTCTCCGTCCGTCCGTGTGTCCATGCGTCCATTCTAAGTCATATTTCAGAATCCCTTGGACCGATTCCGTTCATTCTTTGCATGTGCCTAGTACTTTATGTGGGACATATGCAATTCGATTCAAAATGGCCGACTGGCAGCCATCTTGTTTTTTGAAAATGTTGTATTTTGGACATGCGTTGTCAGTTTTTATTCAAATTTAGTACATAGATCATACATGTTAGGATACATGTCCCCAACCGTCCGTGAGTTCCTGAGTCTGTGTGTCAGTGCGTCAGTCTGTCCAGAGTCATATTTCAGAATCCTGTGGACCGATTCCGTTCATTCTTTGCATGTGCCTAGTACCTTAATTGGGACATATGCATATGCAATGGTTTAGCGATTCGATTCAAAATGGCCGACTGGCAGCCATCTTGTTTTTTGAAAATGTTGTATTTTGGACATGCTTTGTCAGTTTTCATTCAAACTTGGTACATAGATTATACATGTTAGGATACATGTCCATGATGATTTATTTCACAATTGGATCAAAGATGGTCGACTGGCAGGCATCTTGTTTTTTGAAAATGTTGTTTTTTGGACATGCTTTGTCAGTTGTCATTCAAACTTGGTACATAGATTATACATGTTAGGATACATGTCCATGACGATTTATTTCGCAATTGGATCAATGATGGTCGACTGGCAGGCATCTTGTTTTGGGTTTTTTATGCGGTATCTTGGACGTGCTCTGTCAGTTTTCATTCAAATTTGGCACATACATGTATTTTATACATGCTAGGATGCATGTCCATAACAATTTGTTTCAAAATCTGGTCAAAGATGGCCGATTGACAGCCATCTGACTTTTTGGCCTTACTACTATATTTCCAAAATTTATGTACCATTTTTATTCGTATTTGGCACATACATCATACATATCAGTGTGTTTCATAATCAGATCAAAGCCAAATCAATGGCCAAATAACGGCTGTTTTTATTTTTGGCCATATTACTACTACACGGAACACATGTTTTGATGTAAATAAACAATCTGTTGTAACGCCACTTGAAACTTAAGTTTCAAGGACACGCTCGCGACAACCCCTTCGCTTTAATATGACGAGCACAAAGAGAACTTTCAAAAATTTAACTGGGACTGTGTCATTTTCAATGACTTGTTTCACTATGATTTATTTTGTTTCTTTTCAGAATTCGTGAAATTGAAGGCCTTCATATTGTTGGCAGTTCTGATGTGAGTGTAGTTGCCTTTGGATCGCTAGACTTTGACATATTTCAATTATCAGATATGATGACTAAACAAGGATGGCATCTCAATCCCCTGCAGTTTCCTACCAGGTAAGTTAGCATTTAACCATAAATCAATATATTAAAAAAAAATTGGGGTTAAGCTAAAAAAAAAAAAAAATCATGGAAGATTATCCTCGAATAATAAAACATGGTTTCCCAAAAAAACCAAAATGGCTGCATTCTAACTTGTTTTCTTTTTATTTGCCTAGCATACATATTTGTTGTACATTAGTTCATACGAAAACAGGATATGCTGATAAATTCTTGAATGATTTACGTCTTGTCACCGCGGAGATGATGAGCAAACCCAGGACAAAGCCAGACGGATCAGTAAGTCACTATTAGTTGTTTTTCTAATTTCGCATTTGCTTTATTAGAATCTCATTTTCAATAGTTGTATACTGAATTATTAAAATATTATTTTTGTCACCATAAAACATTCTTTATCTATGTATCTCTATACTAGAGCTATTTGAGTAGCATTAGGGTAAATTCAGTACTGGACTGCATAACAGAGATGGGCACTGTCGCGTATAGACTGGCAAAGTCAGGACTTCTTTTTTGTTTTACTCCAAAAAATATAATTCATTGTCAATTTAGTCTTTTTAACGTGGTCGCAAAACACTAGCGTGACTGCGAAAGAAATCCAGAGTGAACGCATCTGCAGACGACTCCCTGCGTTGAAGTGAAAATCACTCTTGACTAGCATTGACAACGAATCAAAGTGCAGCTGTGTACGTCATATCTAATATCAATGTACGTAACCTTTCACTTTTGAGGTCCCGGCGATTTTGAAAGACTACTCTTATACATTGGACATTTAAATCGAATCAAAACAACCTTTAAAAGGTCATGTTTACTTTCACACACCCACGCATGAATAATCAATAACATCATGAATAATGATAGCAGTCAAATGCCCGCAGATGCGTCCAGTCGGGATTTCTTTAGCGGTCAATTTTCGTGATCACACTAAAAGGACTAATAGAACAAATAATTATTTCTTTTTGCAAAACAAAAAATAAGTCCCAACTTTGCCAGTCTATGTCGCGTACTGTATTCGCTGGTGCATGCCTGATTAACATAAATACCTAAAAATTCAGTACTGGTACATTCCTTCCATTCTAGAATATGTTTTCAGATTCTTTGCAGATTCTTATTCTATGCATTTCAACATAGCTTTCTTTTTTCCAAAAAAATCTCCATATTGAGAAAAAGAAAAAACACCTTTGGTATGATAAAAATTCACTTTTGGGTTCATTTCAAAACATTGATAGTTCAATTCTTTTATTTACAGTTTCAAGCAACCAACTAATGTCTCACTATTAAATGTTTTGTTTTTTTAAATCTCTTCACAGGCTGCTATGTACGGCATGGCTCAAACCATTCCTGATCGCTCTATTGTTACTCAGGTGGCCTGTACATATTATAATGCCTACTACAGGACCACTCCTTCACCTTTGCTGAATGGAATGGAATAATCTCAATCCGTTCCTCCCACTTCATCTACAACACTTATTAATGCAAGTCATACATGTAGTTTTTACCAATTGTCTTGAAGTTTATTAATTAAGCTATGCAAATGAAACATGATTTTGACGTGTTTGAAATTTACAGCTAATCCAAGGCTTGCTCGAAAGAAGTCAGGGTTAGAGAGAATTCTGGTTTACACAAGGGTTAGGTTAGACATGTAGAAGTATGTAAAAAAAACTTAAAAATATCTTTTCCAAATTGCATAGTAAATAATTAAGTATTTTGAACAATATATCTTCTTAGAGTAATTGTAATGTACAGACAAGCTTTGGAAATCCATTGTGGCTCCAGTTTTTGTTAGATTTTGTTTTCATGGCAACCATGAAAATTTTAAATATGCAATGCAAATATTTGTGTAAAATCTGCATAATGCAAACAAACATGGAAT